TGGTCATTGGTGTTCACTACTAGTGTTATCGGTTTAATTATATTTGCAATTCAAATATGCAGCAATCTCTTTTTTGTTATGTTTTGTGTGGCAATAATTCACTCTTAACTATATGTCAAACAAAACCTATTTTGAAACAATACTAGAAATGGTCGTAATTGTGAATAAACTTTGTTGTAATTATACGTAAATTTTAATGGTGGAGTTTTTTAACTGTGAAATCATATTCATTTTTGTTATGTTTATTGCAATTGTACAGAATTACGTGTTAAGTGCTATTTCAAGACATAAGGTACAGAATAATACTTTTTTGGATATTAATATTTAATATTATTTATGAATTATTTCTTATATAATATCCCAAATAATCTATTTTTAGTCAGAGATTGAGACATAAAACAAAACCTAAATCTTATTAAACACTAGAAACACTATTTGTATCAAAATTATTACTTGTATAATAAAATTCAAATGCATATCCCAATAATTATTCATAATTAGAATAATATTTTGGAGTGTTTTTAGATATTAAAGCAATTAAATATTCATTAATCGTTTTGTTTTACTCTATGATTGCTATGATCTCATAATAATTAACACATTTTCATATTTTCTATGCTCAAGGGGTCACTGATTTGTGATCATTTTAATTCTTCACTTTATTTTCACAAACTAAAATAATACACTCAAAACTACACTTACAATCAAATTATTTAAACAGAGGTTTAATAAAAATTTTATTGAAACATAAATAATAGTACAGTACTGTATAAGTATTATTACAAAATATTATCTAGCTTATAGGCATACACATCATTACAGTATTCTTATATTATTGTAACTACAGTAAATTAAGATTTTATGTAACTGCTTCATGAATATTTTAAGTGGTAGTTATTGGTGGCATAACTTATTTAATATAAATTGTATAATTATTCAACAAAAGTATTTAAGGATTACTAAAGAATTAAATTTAATCTTTACAATAAAGATTGTATAAGTACTGTACTGATTAGTATAATATTTAAGTACAGTACTGTCAATATTTTTATTTCTACCTGTATTCTTTTTAATTATAATTTATAAACATTGAGATACTTGAAAATATAGAATATATAAATAAAATCTAATTGTGTAGTTGAATATGAATTTATTTAATTGATATGCAAATAAATATTTCATTAAATTAGGTTAGATAATTACAGAAGTGTAGTGTTGAATTTCATTTTAGTGTTATATTTAGGATTAAAGTAAAATCAAAAATACAAATATTTACTATTTATTCAAATACTCTTTAATAATTAAATACTGATAATTTATTTATTATTTCATCGATAAATTCCTACAATAAACCCATTTATAACAAGAGGCTATAATAAAAAATTTTCAAATGTAGAAATAATTATAATTTCGATATCTGTGTGATTTACTTTTAAAAGCTTTCAATGTTTTTATGCGAGAATTCCTGTGAGAGTTATCGTAATAACCGTTATAACTGTAAATAGGGTCAGAATCGCATAAATTCTGTAACCATTCAATGATTTTAAAGCCATTTGGAGTTCAATTGAAGTCTCAAAAGCCTTTTAATACAATATTTTATAAAACAAAACAAAAGCAATTCACAATTGAGTTAATGGTTGAGATGACATAGAATTTGTCTGTCAAATGCAATTAAAAGTCTCAATTCAATCACAATTTTATAATTGTAATTAAAATAACGACTTTATTAGTTTCAACGGCAGAGATACAGACAAATTGGCATTGAATGTACTTTTATTATCAATTTCGTTGTTCAATGATTTTGTTTGAAAATTAATTAAAACCTGTGCTAAACATTTATTGAGTGCCATACTAACTTATTCATAATAATCTTAAAAAGTTTTAATTAATTTAAAAAATAATTTAATTACAGTATTAAACTGCTATTATGTAGGCACATATACAAAAATCTGATATATTTAGTAAATATTATTCTTGGTATAATCAAATAAACACTTTTACTTTTTGTGGGCAAATAATAGATTAAAGTTTTATTATTTATTGTTGTTAGAAACAACTCTTACAATATCAGTTAGAACATAATTGCTCAAGGTTTCACTAGAGATCCATANTTTGTAAAAATTCATATTAAAACTATAGTTTAGAGTTATAAAGAGATCACAGGTTTATGTTTATTGCTTTCAAAAATAGCACAAAATTCTTATTAAAGGCAATTAATTTTTAAGTCTATTACTATGGCACTCAACAAACAAAATAGTATTAAATATTAAAGTTATTAAAAAAATAGTTTTGTCAGTTGTATGAGAAGGTTTCGATGCTTTTATCAATTCGTTTGCCATATTCTCAATCATTTTAAACATAATTAAAACACTTTTTCTCGATTATAAGCGAATAAAAAGAGAACTCATTTACACCGAAAACTTCTCATGTTTTTAGACGTTTTGACAGAGAATTAATGAAATGAATGCTATTTAATAAATAATTTACAGGCAAATGTGAGTCAAAAAAGTCGATGATCGCGAAAATGGACACAGCTTAGTGTTAAGACACAAAAATCTAACGCGAATATAATATTATATTATATAACTTATATTATATATTTGGCAAATCATTATTAAATATGTATAATATATTTATATATAAAAAACATATCATTTGTTCGACGATTCATTTATATATAACTATATATAATCTTATGTACAAAAATATATAGCATTAAAATCATTATCTCCTTGTATTGAACATAAATATCTCTTTGAGAATTAGTGGATCACAACAAAAAACACACACTTTTACAATAATTGCTATTATTTGTCAAATACAACAACAAAACTCATTTTCGTAAAACCTTTAACAGTACTAAACGGTTGTCTCATTCCTCCTCAGATTCAGTGGTTGTAATTCCCGCTGAAGTCTATCGAATTCGTTGTAATATTCGTGATCGTCGGACATATTCTCCTCCATATCGCTGCCGCTGACCCTACGGGTACCCACAATGGCATTCTGGACCATTGGCGGACAGTTGCCGTTCATTACAGCGGGGTTCGACTGTATGGGAATGGGATGCATATTCTGCGTGAATGGCAAACCGGTGGGCATTGCCAACGGCGAGTTGGGCACTGAGTTGACGTATTCGTGCTCCCGATTCATCAGATGGTACTCCAAGTTGTCGAGACATCGGGGCTGACCCTTGACTGGCAGGAAGTCCGGAATAAACCGGTAGTCCTTTACTTTTCCGTTCACCGATTCTGATGTGAAATAAATAATTCAAATTAAAAAACTACTGCCACTTGAAACCCACAAACACAACAATACCTGCTCGCTTGGCGTCACCGATCAAATCCATATAACTCGTGGGCGGCTGACCGATAGGTCCGGGCGAAGGCATGAGATAGTCGTCCTCATCGACTGGCAGTTTGAACGCGAAATCAACGCTCTTCGACGACATATTCGTATTGTTTCTCATTATTTCACAAAAATCTCCGTCTTTTATAAAATAAAACAAAAATTGTATTAAATATGAGTTCAAAACTAAATATATTCCGCTTTAAGACATACCTTTACCCATGACTTTGACGGGATCTGATGAGTATCGGCCCGAACTCTGACTATTTTCCCTTAAGTGTCCGTTCATTTGGACGATAGGATACCCGGAAACGGATGGATCCAAATGCGCGAACTTATTGTAATTGCCGACGACATCGAAATGTCTTCCGTAGCCATTCATATAAATATTTTGTCGGTACTGGACATCAAGAGTATCGTCACTATTAATGGTTCCGCCGTTCACTGACATTCCGCTATTGATGGGATCGCCTTC